GAAATATCAAGAATGCTCTATTGACTGTAAATTGTCAAATACTTTAGAATTTGCCAATTTATCTCCTGCTCTGCGGAAAACTTTAAAAAAGACCCCACTTTTGGCAATATTCAACTGGCAGCACAAGTGCTTGGAGACAAAAAGTTGCGGCAGGCAATCAGCAGGTTTGCTTAGTTCTCATCTCTACATTATTGCTGGTGGAAGCAGCTTTTCAAAAGGATTTAATCATTTGATTTGAATCATTTGATCTAGTCAGAAGAATTAATTCCTATGCCTAATGTGCAAATTTTAACAAAGGAACCTCTCAGAGGGGAAGGGTGCTTAGAATTTAGCGATTCTAAAAGCGTAAAGTTTTGATTATTCTCTACCAAAACTAACGTGAACCATTTGGAAATATAATGTAAAAAAATAGGGCAATGGATTCGATTTACATATACAGCTGTTGTCGGTTAAACTGAGATTTTGAGCTTTTCACACCCTGTGTACGCCTTTTTGACATTCCACGGAGAAGCATGGCAGATATTACAGTTTGCACAGCATTTTTTGTTAAATTGATAGTGGACATAAGTTTGGAATCGCCCATTCGATCAAATGCTCTACTTAAACACTATGTGAAATTTTCAATGCTTACAAGAAATTTCTTTATTAACCCCGAGGCAATCGCTGCTGTCTGCAAAGAACAAGGTATGGACGAAGGACAATGTAAACTCTTCTCGAACGGTTTCCAGCTTATCGATAGGTGAATATGAAATTTATAGATTACTACCCTCTACCGATTGATCTCAAATATGCACTTAATTCTACAGGTTCATAACAACAATCGAATCAAAGTCATCAACTAAAAATGAAGATCCACCAAAGGCAGAAACCACTAAGATTCCAGATAGAGTGGGAAATGATGTGAGTATAATTGGAGCACTTCAACAGCTCTCTATGCATTTAAAATTTCTTATGATTTTCTAATGCCCTACGCTTCTGATTTTTCGAAGATCATGATGGATGACGCTGAATACATAATGGATATACCACAACCACACCAAAAGTTGTATGGATCGAAAACATGGAGTAGTCAGCCCGAACAGAATGGTATTATTTTTTTTCGAATTGTATAATTTTCAAAGCGCATGAGATTTATATCAAAAGCTATAAAAATCAGTTTTTGATGGTATGTATGTTCACCTTCGCATAAGTTTTTTGTTAGCGAAAGTGCCTTCGGTGGGAAAAAGCAAATTTCAAGTTCATCCTTTGATTTCACTACTTTTAAGGGCCACAACTGTTTGAGATTCGTAACGATCTCGTTGCCAGCTTCACTCCACTACCCCCTGCTCCTCCATTTGTGCCACCTACACCTCCAGCAGCTCCACCACTGGCATTCCCGACAGTTTCGTCGTTGATACCTCCATTTGTTGCCAAAATTCTGCCCGTAGACAAGCTACTTAGTCTCAAAGTGGAGTTTTTAGACATACCCATTAAAGTGGATTAATGTAAAGTGATGGTGTTGCAGGCTGATCCAATCATTCGACGACAACGTAACACTGATTGGGATTTCATAGATGATGATTCACAACGACGAGTAAGAAGAGGAGACTATTATGACGAAATCCAATCTTCAAAATCAGGTAATGTTTCGTGGACCAATAAATGTTTTCGGAAATTGCATAACAGTTGTCTTCATCA